TAACAGGGACCTTCAATATCTTTAGAGGAAAAAAATAATTAGTTAAACATTTACCTAAAGCATCTATAGCTATGGCATCTGATATGATAGCCACTAGATGCTAGCTAGGCCTATTTCAAATTAAATTAAATTAAATTAAATTAAATTAAATGAAACTTGCCTTCCAGTTATTATAAATTAGGAGGATAGGACATATTTTATTGAACAGTTTGTAAGCTTGATTTATGGCCTTCAAATACGTAAGTGTAGCACTGTCCAATAGGGCTTTCTGTGATGATGAAAATGTTCTGTATTATGGAGTATGGCTATTGAGTCCTGAAAGATGTGGCTAATACAATTAAGGAACTGAATTTTAAATTTTATTTTGTTTTCAGTTTTTAAGTGCTAAATAGCTACCTGTGGCTAGTGGCTACAGTTTTGGATGGTATACATATGAAACATTTCCATCCTTGCAGAAATGTCTATTGGGCAGGATTGCTCTGAATGATAAATAAAGATGGGTCTTTCAGGGATTGTGCCATGATATGATAGTAAGGCTGGCAGAAGAGATGTAGGGGCCAAAAGGATCATTCTGAATCCTTTGTGAGATACCTTTTGCCTGAAAAAAAAAATTACTTTCTCATGCTGCTGCCCCAAAAGACTTAGTCTTTGCCAAAAGGTCATTTTATGCCCCACCAAACTATAAGAATAGATGGAGAAAGTGACACATGTCTGCCTCGCCTTTGCGTTTAGAAATAGAGCAAACTTCAACTAAGTTCCTACCTTAAGGATATAAAAATTATAAAGCCATTAACTTGTCCCCATATTGTAGGTTACTAAAACCATGAAAAACAGTCCTTAACAAAGTCTAAACAGAAAACTAGAAATTCCAAGGATTCTATGGCATTTGGGGACCACCATGCTTACTGCAATCACAGTTAAACTATCTAACATCAAACCTATCACCTGGTGATTGGAGAGTACCCTTTCCTCTATTGCAGACTTGGAGATAGTCACTAGACTCTATTTACTAAAGTCTGAAAGTAGCTACATGCATTAAAGAAAGATTTCCAACCACAAAGATTGAAATAAATAGGGTGTTCTACTCAACCTTTGGTTTATTAACTAGAAAATTAAGGTCAGCATAATACCCCATATTGGATAATCAAGGTTTTGCTGTAAGCAGAGTACAGTCAAAAAGTAAGCATTACCTCAAGATTCAACCATTTCTATAAATAATTTAGGAACCTTTTCCCAATCTCCAAGTTTATGTTCTTTCTATTAGTGCTAGTGAGAGAGCAAACCATAATAATGGTAACTACTAAAACTTATTGAGTGATTACTGTTTCAGACACTATTCTAAATATGTAGCATCTTTTAATTCATTTAATTTTTATAAAAATCCAATGATCTAAGCACAATTATTATCCTTATTTTATAGATGAGGGAAATAAAACCTGCCTAAGAACACATAAACAGAAAATGACAGATTAGATTTGAGCCTAGGTGATCTAGTGTCAGAACCTGTGCTCTAAGCTGTTACACTACACTGCTCTGCAACTGTGGGTGACAATAAGTGAGCCATAGAAGCTCCTTGAAGGCTGGCCTTATCTCCAACTAGCACAGAGCATGGCAAACAATAGATTTTCACTAAATGTTTGGCAAATGAATAATAGCTAAAATCTACGAGGCACTTCCTATCTCATTCGATCCTCAAATGAATCCTATTGCTGTTATAATAATATCCAGTTTTTCACTTTCAGTTTATACAGGTGAGGAAAATGAGACACAAAGAGACTAAGTCACTTGCCGAAGAAGACAGAGGTAAAGAATGATGGAGAAAGAATTTGAGTCCAAGTCTAGAGTCCACTCTTGAATGAATGAATGAGCTCTAGTAGAATGTATAGTCTGCCCTGTCTCACTCTTAATCAAGTGTGAGCTGTAGCTGCCTCAGCACAAGTCTTACCTCATCAAGGTGACTGTGAGCTTCTTGAAGCAGAAACCATGCCTGACTACTCTTTTCTCAAGCTCTTAACCCAATGCTGAGCAAGAAAACAATGTTCAGTAAATACTTGCTAATTGATCAAGCTGAGGAGCTTTTCCAGTCAAAAGCCTGTTGACTGGTTTCCTGTCTTCCTATCTATCCTTAAGCAGTATTTCTGGCACTGGATTGACAGCCTGAGGAGCCTTATCTCCCAGGAGAGAGTGGTGAGAGTGGCTTACTCCAGCAGGGAAAATAATTTTATTATACTGTTTAAAGTTGCCAAGGCATCAAATTAATAAAAAGAAGACCGACTTCGAGTTGGTTTTACTATTGCTTTGTAAATTTTCTACAATGTACCTCCTTATTTTCTACACCTAGAGAGATCATTCCCACTGTCTTCTTCCCAATCACAGTGTGCCATTGTGGCTTCCTCCCAGAAAGAGTTTAGAGGAGCATAGTTGTAATCAATCCAATCAAGCACTAGGCTTGGAGACCAAAGGCTAGGATTAGAGTCTCAGTTCAGTCAATGACTAACTCCTCTTGAATAAATCACTAGACTTCTTAATATTCTAATCTGTAAAATGGAGGTACCATTGTATCCTCATACTACTGATCCAAAGAGCAGAATAAATTGATGCTACAAATATGCTACGTAAAGTAAAGGGATAGTTACTTTTGTTCTCTATCAAACTAGTGGTCAGTATTATATTATGCTGACTTACTCATTAGCCTTCCTTTTGCAATTCAAAGAAATACTTGGATTTTTTTTAAAGAATAAAAGCTTTTACTAAAGCAAATCCTTGGCTCAAGCTGGTTTAGATTTATCTTGAGTAAGAATAACAGAGCCATTAATGGACAAGGTTACCAAATATCAGTGCAATATCATAGCCACATCTCCCCATTGTAGCTAAAGAGACTCATCACCACAATGGCTTTGGGCCAGAAGGCAGACTTACAAGGTAGAGTGTGAAGAAGGAAATTCTGCTTAGCCAGAGACTCCATGGCTTCTCTCAATCATCACTGTCCAGCATGCAGCAGTCAGAATCAAATCAGGTTTTTTGGTTTTTTTTGTTTTTGTTTTTGTTTTAATAATAGCAACAGCAATAGTTTCAAAAGAAATGAAGTGTGGTAGGGTGTGGTTTCCCTGGAGATTACTTCACTAACAGAATTGGTGAAAACACCTCAGTTATGTTCATGTACATCTTCTACTACAGCTGATAGGACTGCTCTGTTGAAGTTAATTCCAAAGAAAGAAGCCCAATATACTATTATATGAGAAAACATTTCCAAGGCTTACCATCACTGGCTAATGCAGAAATGCATCAAAAGACCTTTGTTTTTTATAAAAAGTAGTCAATCTATTTCAATTTCATCAAAATTCCATTTCAATAAAAACTGGCATCTCAAATTTTAATCTGGCTCTACAAATGGGTGAGAGTTCATCAGAAAGCTTTATTTCTCCCTCACATATCATAAATGGCTGCCTCAGAGTAACTCTCCAGGCACACTGGACACCACCAGTAACAATTAATAGAATATTCAGGTTAAAGGGATCTTTGAACTCATCAAGTCCAGTCTTGGCAAATCATGCAAGAGAAAAATGAGGCCCAGAGAGTTTAACTGATGAATCCAAAGTCAGTAACAGAAGGGACCCAAAGTCGGTCTTCTGATGGTCAAGCAAATATTATTTTACAAAAACACATAGCTTCATTATTTCTTCTGAATTCTCTGGTAAAGCTACCACCTTGATTGGTCAAACAGATAATTCTACACCCCCTATCACTTCACCGCATTCTCATATAGATAATTTTTAATTATATCTTTGAAAGTAATTAAAAACCTACATTTCCCTCTCAGATCAGGTTCTCATTAGTACCAAATATATTCTGAATTTCTCACACCAGTAAAAATTACAAATTCATATTAATATTCATTTAAATGGATTATAATTTAGAAGGCAAATCTGCTGTCTATAAAAAGATACTAAGATTATTCATTTTTCATTATTTGAATGATCCCTGAGCATATTAATAACTCATGGTGCTGGGAATTGAGGATTCAATGTATTTTACAGACTACCTGTTGTATGTAGGAGGAGGTGCTCTGGTTCAATATTCCTTTTGGTTACATACAATTAATCTTTCTTTGAAGCTGTATTTGATACAATAAGATGGTATCACTTCTAGGGATTTTTAGTTGTATAAAGTCCCATACTCACATCACTTTATTCCTAACTGTTTATTGGGAACTCAACCCTACACTACCTCTGTGAAAGAGAGGATATATTTATATTTGACAGTGGATAAAAACATAATTTCATTCATATAGACTAGGAGTTGAGCCTACTTAAAATTCTATCAGAGTCCCTAGAGGGTTTTTTTTCAAGCTATAGATTCCCCAAAAGGGAGTCTGATATGCCTCCTATGAGTGTGAGTACTCCTGCAGGGTGACGATCACTGTGTTCCAAGAGTCTAATTACCCACTAAAATAGTATGGAGGCAGAAAATAAGGTTGATCACTATCAAATATAATACCTTATATTTGCCAAACCATTTTTTGATGTTTCCAAACCATTCATTGAGTATTTATTTGTCAGATATGACTCTACATTTGTTTACACGTTTTTCAATTCACTATACCCCAGATAAACCTTATGAGGTAGGTATCGCTATTTTCATCATTTTACTGATGAGAAAACTGAGGCAGAGAGAAGTGAGAAATGAAATCATCTGCCTAAGGTCACAAAGCTAGTAACTGGCTAATTCAGAATTGAACCAAGGTGGGCTGAAATCAAAAGTCCTTCTTGACTCTACCTTCACCCCTGTGGTACTAATCTCCCCAAAGGAAGCTTGAGTCATCTTTTTGGTGTTTAGCTTTCCAGAATTCATTTCATGCTTTTGTATACACATACCCTTGGGAAATAAATATTTTTGTTTTATTCTTTCTTTTTTATCTACATAAACCATACCATCTGGTGTTCTTTCTTTTACTACCTCTCGAAGAAAGGTAAGCCAAGCACTATTTTTAAATGATTCAGTTACTTACCTGGCAGGGGAAATACCACATTCATGAAGGTGATTTTCCCAGGGTGAGGCTCATCCACTGCATTCCACGTGAGCTTACCTCTGCAATTTCCCCAAATTTGGAAAACTTGATTGCATAATTTGTGGCACTGGTGGACTGTATTCATGCTCTCTCCTGTTTAAAAATGATTCAAAAACTTGAATTCGATGTCAGCTTTCTCCCATGAAGTATGCTGAGACCCTTAAGAATTTGCAGTTCCACAATTTACAAAAGATCTGGACTAAACCTGAAGCTAGAAAACGCAATTCTAGACCAGTAGTTCTTCTCAACCATGGCTGCACAGTAGAATCACCTGTGGAGTTTTTAATAAGAACTGATGTCCAAGCACGACTCTAGACAAACTGAGTCAGAATCACAAGAGACAGAGCCCAGCATATTTCTTAAGGGTCCCCAGGTAACCCTCATGTGCAGCCAAAGCTGAAAACTGCTAGTCTAGAGCATGGGTTGGCAAACTATGGCCCTTGGGCCAAATCCAACTGGCCACCTGTTTTCCTACTACCCACAAGTAAAGAATTATTTTTTAACATTTTAAATGGTTGGAAAAAGATCAAAAGAACAATTATATTTCATAACATAAAATATATAAATTTAAAATCTGTATCCATAAATAAAATTTTATTGGAACACAGCCATGCCCATGCATTTATGTATTATCTATGGCTGTTTTTGCATTATTAATATATAGATGAGAAACTGCAACAGAGACTCTGTGGCTTGTAAATCTGAAAATACTATCTGGCCCTTTGCAGAAAAAAAGAATGCTTACTCCTGGTTAGTCCTTCACCTTCCTAAGAAAGCTACCTTCACAGAGTCTGTAATCTCAGAAGGAACAGGTATACCACTGTCTAATTGAGAGGTTCTAAACTTGGGTCGTGGCCTTCATTAAGATCACTCTATGAATGAAATTGTAACAAAATTTTGAATGAATTTGCATTTTTCTGGACAAAAGATCCATAGCAGGGACAATTTCTTCAAAAATTTCCCTAGGTAATTGGTAAGCCTAATAGCATAGGTAGAAGACAAAAAGTAGTCATGGGTGGGTTGAAAATGAGCAGCAACTGGGATGAAATATTAAAGTTGCACCAGATTCAAGTTATTAATGTCTGCTAATTAGAAATAGCAACATCTCAAAGCCTAGGCATTAGCCTAAATGTCACTAAATTTCCTCACCCGGGCAAAGGAAATGGGCGATTCCAATTGCAGAAGTGTTATAAGGACCAGGTAGGTCAGACTGTGGGTGGTAAAATACTTAGAAAAAGAATAAAGCATGATCATTAATTATTTCTGTTTAATGGTTCATTTCCTTTCATTAAAAAAAAAAAGCTTATCAGATCAAGGGATAAAAGGAAGAAAAGGGAAAACAGAATATCCAGAAGAGTTCTAGGAAATAATTGATTTGGACTATGGCCTTAGGACTGTGAATTGGATTTTTCAAATATTTGGAAAGTTGTCTAAGAAATACACAGACATCATTGGTCTAGGACCCCTGATGACCACATTCAAGTTGTTTCTGAAATTTCCCAAAGGTTTTAACAGCAAAAGTTTCTCTCAGACCCTCGTCAATAGCAGTGGAGAAGGGTAAAATGACCATGTTCTTCTTCAAATCTTTTTCATAAATAGCTTGGAAAACATCCTACTCCCTACCCACCAAAAAATGCAAGCAAACAAACAGAAAAGAGTCTCCATCTCAGAAAAGATGGCACACTGATTTCAGGAAAAAGCATTCTAATGCTGTTGGCATGTTCAATTTTTTGCAAAATGTTCTCTGTGTTCAGATTTTTTAATAGAGCTAATTCTTACTTCATAGACAGTGAGTGTCTGGGGATAGACTTGTGAATGTCAGTTCTTAAGACTTACCATGTCAGGGTGCTTCTTATACATAAATACTGTCATAGGCATGTAACACAATGTGGTTGCCTTATTTAGCCCCATCCACTGGAACTGTGACCCCCTCTCCTGGTCATAATTCAAGAGTCATGACAACCCCAGTTCAAGGAAAAGGAAGAGCTGCTGGGTCAGTCTCTCTATACATATGACTACAGGAAACTTACATTAATGTTTCAGGTTCCTTGACCCCATTGTAACTCTCAGATACAATTTACCTAAGGGGACACTCAGCTTCAGTTAAACTATCTTTCTCTGAGTAGTACACTCATGCCCATAAACAAATCCCTAATAAAAATCTGGCTCAACTAAAATTTTTAAAAAGCTCACACCTTAGGTTCCTGGAAAATTTATGGTATGTGTGTGCTAAACTTTGTTATTGCTGAAGTAAGACAAGCAAAATTGGCACATGGCTCATTAAGAAAAACCAAATGGTATAGATGTTAGCATTTCAATTGTAGGCGGGTTTTCAGATTTCACAGAATGGCCTATTTTAAATCAGATATATGCAATACAAGATGAATTTACAAGGTGTCTCCTTTAATTGGATCACCCCCTTCTTGCTCCACACCTGCGGAAGGGAACAATTAAGTATCGAGGCTACATTTCACAAGTGGTTTTCAGGCGACCTTGTTACTTTATAGTCATAACTCAAATATCCGGTCATTGAGCGGAAATCTAAGAGCAAGGAGCTTTTCTGAAGCCCACACCATTTTCTATTTTGATCCACTGCAAATGTTCTCTCCCCAAGGCACAGGAAGGACACATGGAGCACATCTTGGCTAAAACATATGGTGCTGAAACAGCAAGCTGATAAGTCTTTAGTAGTACTTGATAGTGGTAAGAGATCAATTATTGTCATATAAATATTAAAAAGCTCTGCTAGTACTCTTTTGAAATGAGAGTATATTTAACTATGATAACTACCTCCCTGTTAATAGCAATCTAACTTGCCTGAGAAACAAAATGTCACCTCATCAAGTGAAGCTCAATTAAATGCTCAGTTGGTCCAAGGTTATGTTGCTGCTATTGATGCTGCTGCCATCTGTCATAAAAGCCAAAACATGAAATAAGTACCTATTATTTTCCTTTGGGACCATGATTCTTCCATCCTGAAGGTGACAGGAACTTTGTGGAGACTGCCCACTGTGGACTTTTGTCTAGGCAACTAGATCTCCTAATTCTTATGAGAACATTGAATCTTGCCCTGGAATCTCTTTAGCTCTTGAGGTTCCAGAAGTTCCTCTGTAGCAGATTCCAGCAATCAATCCACCAGCAAGCACTGACTGAGTACAACCTGATAATTAGTTCAAACTTCTACTCCTCAAAGCCCAGCCTTGTCCTAGGCAGGATCAGTGAAGGCAATGAATTAAAAAAGAATTGTCTAGGAGGTTGAAAATTCTAAGATTTGGATGCTTCCCTAATCTCTTGTGATTCCAAGAGAATCGTGTGGTCTGGAGAGCTCAGGTACAGAATTTCTCAGTCAGGACACTGGCAAATAGCCTCCTACTTCTCCAAAGCTAAAATGGCAAGGAATTCCCTAAAAACTGAGTGCACTTCCCCTGAAATTTTGTTGTAATTCGGTTACAGTGCCCTCATAAGCAACACCAGCTCCAAAGAACAAGTTCCACTTACTAAATCAAGAAGAAAAATATTTTAATTATTTGAGAGTGTGTGCAGTTGTGCACAGGTAGGAAGACATTCAAAGCATCAAGAGATTTTTGACCAAAGAAAAATAAATTCCAATATACACAGTTGTAGAAAGGATATTTATATGCTAAAATCACAACCTTTGGCTATATATGAGAAGGAAGCTCTTCCTCTGTGAACTGGAAAGAGCAAAATAGAGAAAACAGAATGTATAATGGTTGAGAGCATGTGTGTTGAAGCTGGACTGCCTGGGTTCAATTTCTGGCTCTGCTAGTTACTCAAACAAATCATTTAGGCTTCCTGGGCCTCCTTTTTTTCATCAAAAAAAAATCTGAGAACAGACTCCACAACCGCCACTGAGCAGATCGGACTCACTTGTTCTTGTGCCTCTCTCCGCTTCCTCTGCCACCATGTCTGACAAACCCAATATAGCTGAGATTGAGAAATTCAATTAGTCAAAGTTGAAGAAGACAGAAACACAAGAGAAAAAATCCACTGCCTTCAAAAGAAACAATTGAACAGGAGAAGCAAGCAGGAGAATCGTAATATGAGGCATGCACTGCCGATATGCACTGTACATCCCACAAGCATTGCCTTCTTGTTTTATTTATTTTAGCTGTTTAACTTTGTAAGATACAAAGAGATTGGATCAAGTTTAAATGACTGTGCTGCTCCCTTTTCACATCAAAGAACTACTGACAATGAAGGCCGCACCTGCCTCTCCCACCTGCCTGTCTTGCTGACAGAGAAGGAAAAGAACTTGCATGTTGGTGAAGGCAAAAGCTGGGTTGGATGACAGTGAAATCTAGAGTGAAAACCAAGCTGATCCAAGGTGTCCTGCAGGCTATAAAATGCAAAATGCAGTTTAATCATAGCGTGTGTGTGCGTGTGTGTGTGTGTGTGTGTGTGTGTAGACATAGATATAAATATATATAGTTGTTATCCAAATGGTTTTAATTATTGGAATGCACAATTTTTAATATGCAAATAAACTTTTAAAACCTGAAAAATTAGAATAATAATAGCTCATATGTTTGTTATGAAGATTAATAAATTTCTAAAATTTCAATCCAATTTAAATTTAAAATAAAAAATGTTTCAGTGTTCAACTCTAGAATTTACCTTTATTTCTAATTAATTTTGATAGAACAGCGTTCCCACTATTTTAAGTCCCCTGTCTGCCACTGCATTTCTCTGGGCAGAAAAGTGCAAAGACTTACAAAGCAAAGATTTAGTTTCGTGGGCATGTCAGGTACTGCAAGGAAGGCTGAGGGCGAGTACTTTGAAAAGATAAACCTTTACCTCCATATTAAATGGGCTATGCAGTGCATCTGCAGGTCAGTATCAAATGTTACTGTGTAGACCTACTCCATTGCTTTGTCTGGGAGTGCAGTTTCACAAGAAGCTTTCCCAAGGAGTAGGCTTCCCTGGGCTGCCAAAGTTACAGAAAGATAATTCATTTCCAGAATTGTTATAAATTGTTTTGACACCTGCCTCTGCCGTCTGCACTTTTTGTTGTAAATATATGATTGGCTAGGACCAGAACATTGCCCACGATGAGATGATTAGAAGAAGCGGTACCT